GAGGAGGAGGAGGAGGGGCGAAATCGACGGGCGAGGCAAGAAGCGACGGGTGGGCAGCGCAGGGAAGCGGGCGAGAGCCAGCAGCGCACCCGCGGCGGGGGCACGGGCGAGGCCAGGAGGAGCCGCAGCGGTGGGACGCATCGCAGCCCCCCCCCCCCAGCGGCATGCGAGAGCCGCGCGCGGGGCAGCGCCCGCCGGGCCTCCTGGCGTGCTCCCGGCGTGCGCGATCGTCGGCCCCCCCCCCGCGGGGCCCTCTGCCCGCAGGGAGGCCCCCCCCGCGGGGCCGCGCGCCGCCGAGCACGGGCTCCCGCAGCGAGGGGGGCGGCGCGGCGCGGCTCGCGCCGCGAGAGAGAGAGAGAGAGAGAGCGCCCGCGCCGCGCCGCGCCTCGCGCGAGAGCGCGCGCCTCGCGCGAGAGGCTCGCGCCGTGCCGCGCGCGGCGCGGGCGCCTTCTCGTGAAGCTCTCGCGCGAGGCGCGCGCCGTCGGGGAAACGGCACCGTCTCCTGGGCAGTCAGATGTGGGGCTTCCGGTGCATTGTTTTTTGGTTGCGGCACGTGGTCGTCCAGAGTTCATGAGAGCACAGAGTTCATGAGAACACCAGTGCTCCCACACCCATGTGCAGTGGATTGGAGGTCCGAGGAGTGCAACTCGAACGTGTTTTGCTATGAGTTCGAGATCACAGAAAGGACGATGACACCCACGGGTTTCTCCGACAGTCTCACACCACAAGAACTACGATTTCAACGAGACGACGTGGCTACATCATGAGAAAACGGATGAGTGGGGACTGTCGGGAAATCAGCTCCTGAAGTACACATTGTCCTGAGTAGACCCCCCACGCGTGCAGCTTCTCATGCGAGGCCATGGCCTCACCCGCCTCGCCTTTAAGGGGCCCGGGCGCATGCCCGCACAGGCGATCCGTATCCGTATCCGTACGTGGTCGTCCAGTGCGTCGTTCGGCTGTTGCGCTGCAGGCTTCGGGTTTCTGTCAGGGTCCAGGGGAGGGTTTCTGCAGGCTTTCCTGGCCTTTGTCCGGGCTCATTCCGGGAATGTGGTAGTACAGTATTTGCGACTGCACGTAAGAGTGACCCTTCGCCGGAGTGAATTTTGGTGCGGGCCCAGCGGGGCCCCCCGATCGCTGAGCGCGATGCGAAAGTAGCGTCTTGCGCGCTTGTGTTTGGTCCCCCCGCGGCCCAGCAAAAGTCCGCGCACCAAAGGTCACTCTTACCCAGGGTCACTCTTGCGTGCAGCCGAATTTGGCCGTGTCGCCCTCTTGTGCAGTGCAGTTTTTTTGTTTCCTGGTGCCTCCCGTCGGTGACCTCTTTCGGCCTCCGGGGGGCTAAAAGTGGTCACCTGTGGCCGGCCGGGTTAACGTCACCACATGCGGTTGCATTCCGCATAAGTGTAAGCATTGTTTCGGGGAATCGTACTCGACGGCGCTGCGGGGCAGGATGGCCCGCTCAGATCCTTGTGTTTGTGCCACCGTCGGGAAAAACACTGGTGCCGAGATATGTTGGGTGTCCCCGACTGGCGTGTCCAGCCTTAGGGGGCCCTGAGATCGGACCCTGCGGGTATGGGGCGGCGAGAGAAGAGCCAAGCAGCGACGGCGCGTCTGGGCTCGCGGATCGGCCCACCAAGCACTGTTCAGTGTTTTCGCAGGGATTGTGTTGGGTGTCTGGGGGAGAGAGCGAGAGAGAGAGAGAGAGAAACAGAGAGAGAGAGAGAGAGAGAGAGAAGAGAGAGAGAGAGAGGGAGAGGCAGATTCCAGATCCAGCTGGTAACACTTATATTCTTATTGGGATGCAATTGAAATCTAATTGGGGTGGAGCGGATCCCAGTTTCAGCAAATTCCCAGCTGATTCCTATTAGAACCTACCAGAACTTAATTAGACATCCAGCAGATCCCAGACTCAGTTGATTCATATTGGATTTCCGTTTGGATCTAGTTCAGGTCTAGTTGGAATGGAGCAGGTCCCAGGCCCAGCTGACTCCAGCAGCATTCCTATTACAATCTAGTTGGCATGGAGCAGATCCCAGATCCAGCAAATTCTAATTTGGTGTCTATCGGAATTTAGTTCGAAATCAATTAGAGTAGGGCACATCCGAGATCCAGCTGAGTCCAAGTGGGATTCACTTTGTAATCTAATTAGGCTCTAATGGGACTTGAGCAGGTCGCAGGTCCAGCTGATTCCAAACATATTCCTATTGTTATCGACTTAGAATCTTACTGGAATGGGGAAGATCTCAGATCCAGCTGACTCCAATTTGATTCCGATTGATATCGAATTCGGATTTGATTCGAATTGCGCAGATCCCATATACAGCTGTTACTACTTGGATTCCGACTGGAATCGAATGACATTATAATTCGAATTTGGCAGATCTCAGGTCCAGCTGATTCAAGTGCGATGCCTATTGCAATCGGATTAGAACATACTTGGAATTGAGCAGATCCCAGCAATTAGATTTCTATGGGGGCTTAAGTAGAGTCCAATTGGGTTGGAGCGGATCCCAGGTCCAGCTGATTCCATTTTGATTCCGATCAAACTCCTTACTTCGAATCTGAATAGAATTGCGTTGATCCCAGATCCAGCTGATTACAATTCAATCCCAGTGCGATAGAACAGCGGAGAAACGATGAGCAGGAAAAATGGATGAGCAGGCACGGGTGAAAAGAGGGCAGATGACCAGTGGGAGTACGAATGACGTCTCCAAGACCGATGCAAAAGGAATAGGTGCTGGGGGGAAGGCTGCGCATATTCCTCTTTCTATATTTTTACAAGCCCCGGGCGGGGGGAAAACCCGTCCCCCCCCCAAAAACCGGACTCCCGGGATCTGGGGCTTAGAGACCCTCCAGACGGGCCTCGAAGCGGCCCCCAGGGCCTCGCAGGACGTGGCGCGCTCCCGAAACGACCCCAGAGAGCCCCAATACGATCGACGACGACCCCCAAGAAGCCGTCATACCCCCAAAGATCGTCCCGAAACGTCCCAAGAGGCCTCCAAGATCTTTCTCAAGAAGGCCCCAAGAGGCGAAATTCTTTGATTTTGTTGGTTTATAGCTTATTATGGGGTTCTCCTCTTTTCGGCTTCCCGACGCTCCAAGACGGCGGTCTTCTGGGCGTCCGAAGCCGCCTGGGAGGCTCCAAAATCGCCCCACAACCATCCGAAAGGGCTTCCAGGCAGTCCAAGAGAGCCCCCAAACGGCACAACAGGGGTCCAAGATGGCCCTCAGGGGGCCCCATGGCGGCCCAAGATGGCCCTAAGACACCCTCCGAAACATTCCAAATCGTGACCCGGTCGTTCAGGGAGACCGCGGTTGGAGGCACGGTGGCCCGACAAACCCCCAGAAACCCCCAGAACACGCCCAGGAGGCCTCCAGAAGGCTTTAAGAAAGCCTCCAGAACACGCCCATGAGGCACCCAGAGGCTCTTCAAGGAGGAGCCTCCGCAAAAAGAGCTGAGGAGGATGGGGAGAATGCGCAGGGCATGGCGAACACTAGGAATAAGAAGCACGGAGGAAGGATAACGAATCACATTATTATAGCGGCGATGCTGGAAAAGGAGTTATCGCTAAATTGTCGGCTTGACCTTCCCGCTAGTCCGCCTGCATACCAAACTTCAAGGCTCAAGGTGCATGGCGCGAAGCGCCACTGCAGTCTTGTATATATATATGTATATATATATATATATATACATATGTATATAGAGATATGTAGAGAGAGGAAAGAGAGAGAGAGAGAGAGAGGCAGCTATATACATATGAATATAGTCTTACAAGCACACACACGCACACATGTATTTGCATATACGCATACCTACATATGCATATATACATATATCTATGCATACATACACGCATATTTTTCATATACATATATA